GGGAATTACCCAGTCTCCTGGAGCCTCAGTTTCCCTCTGTAATAATGACAATGCTAACAGCAGCACCTAACTAATGAAAAAAGATCTTTTACATAAAGACTCAGCACAGGGTCAGACATCTGGCTAAGCTCTTGGTAAACATCAGCTGTTGTGGGCTTGCTATTATTATCCTCAGCCTGGTGGCAGGGGGCCCCTGCCCCATCTGGCCCCGCTGCTCCCTTCCCACTGGGCTGCACAGGTCGTATGACTGAGTCCCACCTGTGAGGCCCTAGCCCGGCTGCCCTCCATGCCGGAACACTGAAAGGGCCTCCCTTCCTCTTCTCTGAGTCAGTCTGTGTGGCCCTCCCCCAAGAAGCCCTCCAGGACCACCCAGTGCCCAGCATGGCTGCTCCCTCACCTGCAGGCCCACCATTCATGCTTGACAGAAGCTGCCTTTTTCCCACAAAACATCTGTGTTGGGGTAGCTTTGTGTGAATCAATTCCAGCCCCTGGCCCTGTGTACATGGAGGCTGCTCAGGTCCAGGATGGCAAAGATGGAACCAAGATGCCCTGGGCCCCTACACCTTGCAGCCCCACCTCAGGACGGCCCAGTGGAAGCGCCCCCATCCTCCCCACACATACCACAGCCAGTACCCACGGCCACCAGAGCCACAGGGAGACCATGGCAGCTGGGTTTTGATTCCAAGATTTTTAAGATTTCAAATTGTCCAGATGTTCTGCAGCCTGAGACCCTTATCGGCCTTCTCAGAGTCCTCCCTCCTTCCCTCTCCTCCTCCCCCACCCCAGGGTAACACAGCCAGGCCTCAGACACTAGCTGACCCAGGTCCCAAACAAAGGCTCCCCTGTCAGCAGATCACCAAACAGCAGGCCCATGCCTGAGTCTCAGGGCCAGATCTCAGCAAATGGCACCAGGGCGTGAACCCCCCCCTTCAGGTACCTCACACGGCTGCACCCCATCAGGGATTGCTGAACCCCTCCCCTGACATTCAGCGCTTGTCACCGAGCACCCTCACAGGCCGTGTCTCTCAGGCCACCCCACAGCCAACAGGCCCATCAATCTGCAAGCTCTGCGGGCCCTGCCCACCCCTCCCCCTCCCACCCCTGCCGCACACTCCTAGCACCAGCACACACAAGGCCAGGAGCCCAGCACAAGAGGAAGGACCCATCACCTGCGTAGAGAGCCTGCTCTCGCCACCACGAACCTCTGAACTGTGTTCTTGCTATTCCCCCTGCCTGGGAACCCTCCCTCTGTGTGCATGAAATAACACCAGAAAGCACTGCCACAGGACGGCGGGCAGCGGTGTGAACCGACATTACTGCTCCGACTTCTCAACCACAACTCTCACCTGAAGTCCCACCTCTTCCATGACGCCTCCGTCGAGTGTTCCCCGAGAGCTGCGGCCCGGCCCGGCCTGCCTCCTGCAGCGTGCCCTCCCCAGTCTGCACCACGGGCGGGGAGAGAGGGCCGTGCCAGGCGCCTCTGGGCTGCAGCAGGACGCAGAGCGCCTTCCCTCCCCTGCTCCCCGGGGCCCCAGCTGTCTCTGCAAACACGTGCACAGACAGCCTGATTCTGCTTCTGGCCCATCTTCCTTCCCTGCCCCCTGGGAAGCTCTCAGATTCACCCACTGCTGCAGCCTCTCCCCTAAATCCACCACGGGGCCAGAGCTCAGATTCTGGAGTCCACATCCACCAGGACCCTACCCAGACCCGCAGGCCACAGAGCCCCCCTGTCCAGCCTCACCTGTTCCTCCCCATCGTCTCATGGTCTTTGACCACCACCTGCAGCTCAGAGCCCTGGTCCAGGGGGATGCCCTTGAGGTCCCATTCGAAGCCCTGGAAGAAAGGAGACAAGCTGTCTTAACCTGTGGACCCCTAGAAGAGAAGAGGCTGTTTCTGGTTCACTCGGGTGCCCCTCGGGCACTAAACAGGCATCCACAACCACTGCCAGGGGAGGGAGGGATGAGTAAGTGAATGAATGAATGAATGAATGAATGAATAACCAGCATTGTTCCAGAGCTTCTGAAGTGACAGTGAGAGCTGAAGGCAGCAGCAGAAGAGGCCAGACTCCTGTGACACCACCCCCAACCCAATTCTACCCATCAGTTACCAGCAGCCCAGCTGGGGAAAACACCAGGTGACCATGCAGGGCCCTCGGGGACCAAGATCCAAGCGCTCATGGAGAAGCCAGGCCCCTGGTGACAGTATGACTAAGTGCCATTTTGGTATCCAGAGGACCCCCCCTGCAACCTGACCCCACCCACACAAGGCATCCAGGAGAACCACATGCAGAAAGCTGTTGGAGGGGGCTGAGGCCAGCAGGAGCCAGAGGAGGACCTGGTGAATCAGGGAGGACTGTCAGGAGGAGGTGGCTCTGGGCCCAGAGAACAGTCTCTGGATGGGAGACCAAGCAGACAAGAGAGCCCTCAACACCCTACACCTGGCTGGCCAGAGCTGGAGGCAGCAGAGACAAAAGGCATCTCACTCCTGTCCAGGCCGCACTCACATCACAGGGGAGATGGCAGGCCAGGCCACCAACCCACCTCCCAGGTCCCTGGGGCCAGGAGGATTTCACTGGCACACTGGACCAGAGAACCCCTCCTCTCCATGACAGCACCACTAAGAAGGTCACCTCTGCTGAGCCCCCTGACTTGTCCCTGCAGAGACAGCGGCACAGAGAGGGGACAGGAGGGAGGGTGGGAGAGCTCACATACCTCATTCCACACGGGGTTCACATTGTTCTTGATGACTTTGGTTCTCTTCTTCACCCCTACGAGAGACACAAAGGGAGACTGGAGAGGCGCACCCCACCCTGTGCCTTCCCCCGCGAGTGCAGGCCAGCTTCTGAGGTCTGCCCTGCAGCGCCCGCCAAAGGAACCCTCACAAAACCCACGAGCCCCTGAGAGCCCCACTGGTCTGCGATGAAAGCATAGTCTGCCCACACGACCTCTCTCTCAGCTCTGGGATAGAGAAACAGCAGCCCCGTTGGAGGACGGTTTAAGGGAAAACACCCAGCCTGATTCTTCTTAATGAGCTTGTTAATTGTTATTCCTGATTTTCGAAATAAAGTATTTAAATTTCTAAATAAAGTTGTACATTTTCTGATTCTAAGAATGAAGGATCTTCGTAGAAAATATTCCATTTTTCTTTCAAAAAATTCTCTCCACATACTGTACGATTCCATTCATGTGACCTGTCCAGAAGAGGCAAATCCACAGAGATGGAAAACAGATTAATAGTTCCCAGGGGAGATGCAAACGGTGAGGGAATGTTTAATGGAAGTTTCTTTTGGGAGTGATGAAATGTTCTGGAAATTTGAAAGCTCAGATCTCATGTTGGGCAACAAATGATGTGTCAGTTTAAAGCGGCAGGCCCACTCACTCATTTTCAAGAAAATGTCTGTCAAATGCCCAAATCTGAATAATCACAGTTTGTCATTCTTTCAAGTAAAAACAGTATTCCACTAAAAAAAAATGGCTAGTTCAGCATGCCCCACGCCCCTCAAGCAGTCACGCACGTGCTTTTTCTTGCAATAATCATGATTTTTCAGTGTGCAGAAGCGCTCCGTGCACATTTCCCGTCTCAACACACAAAATATTACAAACACGTGTACCCAATCAATGCACTGCTTTATCAAGGACATTCTTCAATAAAACTGGCTTTTTTTTCCCCCAAACTGTGAGTACATGACGGTGAAAAATAAAATGACTAGCACAATTTGGTGCCAAGGCCCTCATCAGTATTAAGGCACCAGCAATTTCATGTTCCATTGCTGTTGTACCATCAGTGCACATGTTGACACAGTGAAAATGGCAAAGAGCATCTCAGCGTTACTGTGAAATGGTTTTAACCTTCTGACCTGCTCAAAGAGTCTTGGGATTTCCCCCAGGGGTCCGTGGACCACATTTGAAGAACCTCTTAGGAAATTCATTGAACATCTCAGCTTCTGTTTCCTTATCTGTAAGGTCATAATACCTCCCTATGGAGTGGTTGTGAAAATTCAACCAAATGGAATGAGAGAGGTGTCTGGCACACTGCATGCTCATTAAATGTAGGTTCACTTCCCCTCCCCTCTCCTCTGTGCCCCACTCTGATGATCTGATCTAGTGAACTCCTACTGATTCTTCAATGCGTTGCTCAGGTGTCTCTCCTCTGATAAGCCTCCCCAGACAGAGATGGTTGCCAGATGTGACCACATATATTGAACAGCAGGACAACCGTGTGCTTCTACATCTGGCCCCTCAGCTAGACTGTGAGCTGCAGGGGGCAGACACCGGGCCTTACTCACGTTAGGAACCCTCGTACATAGCAAGGTGCCCAGTACTTGGGTACCGAATGAATGGGTCCTTTTCTTTTCCTGGAAGTTCACCTCATCACAAGAGGACAGAAGCAGTCTTCTCAGGGAACGCAGAGATGGCACTCCCACAGAGGGGAGGAAAGGCGGCGCAGTGGGGGAGGTGTCCTGGGAGGGGCCCAGTTAGCTTCTCAAGGTGGCCCAGGACTGCCCTGTGGGCCATGTTGCTGCGGCTCCAGCAAGGGTTAATACACGGCTTTTTAGTCATTTGAATAACAGGTACTCCTCGGTGACCTTACGTAGGGCTTGTAACCTCTCTAAGGCCTTCGCCCCCTTGGCAGTAAAATGATAATAATGAGTGTCTCCTTGATCAGTTTTGAGGGGATATGAGATGCTATCTAAGTGTTCACTTCCTCTCCCCTGTCAACTTCCCATGACCTACAGAAGCAACATGGAAAATTCCATCTGCAACCTCACTTGAACTGTCCACTTGGAAACATATCCGGGTGCTCCCGGCTAGCATCAACTGAGCGACATCTGTGTGCCAAGCCCTGTGCCAAGCGCCTTTCAAACGTTTTCTCTGCCTGCCTTCCCTGAAGATGGGGAGAACAAAGGCCCTGGATGGGATTTCCCTAAGTCTCGGGTGGAAGGGCTGACTGTGGGACCCTCTGGGTGACACACACTAAGGGAGGGGTCACTGATGGACGCTACAGCCCCACAGAAGAGTCAGAAAGAAGTGAAACGTTAACCCAGCACAATCACATGACCTACAGACGCCAAGGAAAAGGAAGGCAGGCTGCTAATGAGGAAACAGTTGAGAAAAGAGTTCCTTCCTCATCATGAATTTAGACCTGTCCTGTCCTTGGTCATCAGCATTGGCCTTGAGAGACATGGCTTTATGTGTGTACTTAAGCCGACTGGATAGTTAAAGATACAGGAGAGCTCACAGCTCATGCCGGGGGTGGGGGGAGGGGACCACATCCTCTCCCCAGGTTGCCCTGCAGAACTAGGGGCCAGGAGGCATCCATGAGAATCACGTTGGAGCCCTGGGGAGTCCTCCAGACAGACTGACTCAGTGGAGGGGAATGAACCTGCCATGGGAGGACTCTTCTGTCCCCACAGAAATTCTTCACTGGTTTCCCCTGGCCCACCCACCCCAACTCGACCCCTGACTCCTAGACCAGAGTCACCCAGGGCTGCAAGGCGGTGTTTTTCAAATTGCTCATTGGGACCCACCAGCAGGCTATGACATCAGTTGAGTGAGTTGACCAATATGTCTTTTTAGTGACAGAATAGACGAGAGAAGAAAATATCAGAGCACAGCTTTCATGTAAAAGTACTGTTACTTGAAACTTTTGGTTCTATTTTCACATACATATTTATGTGAGGGTACTATGTCTTGATGTAACAATACATTTCTTGTTGTGGATAACAGTCCTAAAAGTTTGAAAATATTGCCTTAAAGGAAGGTGGTCAGAGGAGAACCAGAAAACAAAGAAATCACCATCTTGACCCTTGATTGTGGAGGCTGGATGATGTAGTGGACCGGCCTGATCTCCCACTGGAGCCATGTCTGATAAAGACCCTGGGCTGTGGGAGGGGATGTAGGAGGAGACCCAGAGAAGGGAACAAAGTGGAGATAAGAAGACAGTCAGCAGCACTATGTACAAGAGCCAAGACACGGAAACAGCAAAGATGTCCATCGACAGGCATATAGATAAAGGAGACGTGATGTATTTATAAAATGGAATACTACTCGGCCATAAAAAATAAAATGATGCCATTTGCAGCAACATGGATAGACTTAGAGATGATCGTATTAAGTGAACTAAGTCTGACAAAGACAAATATCATATGACGTCCCTTATATGGGGAATCTTTAAAAAAAAAGATAATTTTATTTACAAACCAGAAATAGACTCACGGACACAGAAAAGAAAGTGCTGTGACTGAGGTGGGAAGCCCCATAAAAAGACTGGCAGGACCCCCAGGCAGGGCCACTACTCTCCTGCCAGCACCATCTGGTTCCCTGGCCCAGAGGCTCTCTCTCACTTTTTTGCCTCTGAAACAGCTTAATTACCCCTAAAATTCTATTGGTTCCCTGAGCTCACTCCTGATTGGTTACTTCCTTCACTCCTGATTGGTTATTTCCTTCACTCCTGATTGGTCCATTTCCCTAGCTTCTGATTGGTCCATTTGTAGTACTTCATTTGCATGGAGCTCACTCCTGATTGGTTATTTCTCTCTCTCCTGATTGGTCCATTTCTACAAAGCTTGTTCCTAATTAGTCAACTTTTGTTACACCTTATTTGCATATGATCTTGCAAAGTGTAAACTGGTAGCCTATAAAAGCCTGTGTAAACCTACAGATGGGGTCCAGAGCTTGGAGTGTTAACTCCTCTGGGCCTGCTGGCGTAATAAATCTGAATTCTCTAACTCTCCAGGTGCTGCTTGGTCTCTTGCCCAGATCCAGATTGCTGTCACAACTGAGGCTCTAACACCAAGCTGTAATATTGAGCTATAACTCGGAGTTGTAACACATTTTTTCTGCAACATGACCAGAGGGGAAAAGGAGCAGAGGGATAGATTAAGAATTTGGGATTAACAGATACACGTTATTATGTATAAAACAGATAAACAACAAGGACCTACCGTATAGCACAGGGAACTGTATTCAATTTCTTATAATGAGCTATAATGGGAAGGAATCTGAAAAAATATGTGTAGGTATGTATATGCATAATTGAATCACTTTGCTGTACACATGAAACTAGCATTGTAAAGATTGCACGTCAACAAAAAATAAGAATTAAAAAAAAAAAGGACAGTCCTTCCTGCCCAGCCAGTGCCTGGGGTCACCAGATTGAGCAGTCTCCACTGGAGCCCCACACATCTGACACCTGAGCATCGTCACACGTGGGCACGACCTCACACAAAGAGCCACATCACTGCCCTCTGCTCAGCGCCTGGTGAGGCTGACCTGCCAGCGGCTGTCTCCCCTGCAATCTAGGCCTCGGGCCCATCTCATGGGGACAGGCCCCTTTCAAAGGGCCCAGGATGCTTGCAAGCCCCTCTAAATATGCACAGGAGTTACAGTGTGGAAAGGAGCACCCCAATCTCTGGCAGAACCAGCATAGTCACGATAGGACAGACTGCCTCCTCCAACACAATGATCAGGTCACAGTACATCTGGGAAGCAGACAAAATGCTTGTTTCTGTAACACTGATGAGAATGGAATATTTGGGGCTGGTAGGATCATAGAGAAGACAAACGCGAAAGCAACAGTTTTCACTGAGGGTTCACATCACAGTCTGTAACCTGCTGCCCTGTTTCTAATGCCTGTCCAAAGTTTACAGAAAGGCTGAGAAATACTGATGCAGTTCCCATTGCATCTCAAAGGCACCAAGGCCCAAATGTCCACTGACATGAACGGATAAACAGAACGTGGGATGTGCGTACAAGGGAATATTATTCA